AAGCTCAAGCCCCTTGACAGGGGCACCATTGTTGGTGAGATATAATCAGCTTTCCTAATTCCCTTCTAAACAAATTGTGGCAGGGACAAAGTAAAGACTTAATCCAGGCCGGCAGCTCACGTCTGTAATCCCAGCGCTTTAGGAGGCCAAGGCGGGCAGATCACCTGAGGTCAGGAGTTTGAGACCAGCCTGGCCAACATGGTGAAATCCCATCTCTACTAGAAAAAAAAAATTAGCCAGGCATGGTGGTGCATGCCCGTAATTCTAGCTACTTGGGAGGCTGAGGCAGAAGAATCGCTTGAACCTGGGAGGCAGAGGTTGCAGTGAGTCAAGATCATGCTATTCGACACTAGCCTGGGTGACAGAGCTAAACTGCGTCTCAAAAAAAAAAAAAAGAAAAAAAAAAAAAAGGCTTAATACAGAATGACCTCACATCTTGAGAGCCAGTGGACCAAACTGCGTCTCAAAAAAAAAAAAAAAGAAAAAAAAAAAAGGCTTAATACAGAATGACCTCCCACATCTTGAGAGCCAGTGGACACTGTTATCATATGTTTTAGAAAAGACTATTTACTACTAAACTTCAAGTATTAATTTACTATTTTGTCTTTTTTGAGAAGGGAAGAATATTTCCAAAAGTCTTATTTGTAATTTTAAAAAATTCTGATGCTGTTGTAGTTCTGGACAGCTTTGTAGTTCTGGATGGCCCCTGAAGACATGCACTAGCCTGGGAAAAGTGCGAGTAATTATCAGGCAGCACAAGCAATCTGTCAGGTGGTAGTCAGGGTTTGTGTGACTAGTTTCCTCTGGTTTCAGTGGCTTTCAACAAAGTACACTCAGCCCTGTTTTTACAGCAACAATGAATCAGCCAGATGACCCAAGTAAACCCAGGCGACAAACCACCATTGGGAAAAAAAGATATGAGAGTCAGGGGAGGATCCAGGCTCAATTCTTACTCTCCCACAGATGGGACCCCTCCCAGCTTTGCCATTGGGAGGCTTTGGGAGTCCTTTGCTATTGGGAGTCCTTTCAAAATAACAGTAGTGTTATTTTTTAAAAGAATATCCTATGCTCTTTTAAAGTTACTGTTTTGGTTCAAAGTCGCTTTTAAAGACCCTAAAGTTTCTTTATAGATACAACTTTAAAGCAATACCAGTGACAAAGGCAATGGGAACTAATTTCCTTCTTCTGTACCTAGGAAAGGCTGAGTCACAGTGGATCCAGAGATCTGAATCAAGTCACAATTAGTCAGGGGCAGGCCTCGGAATACATGAGTATTTCTTACTGCACTCAACCCAATTATGCACACAATTAAGCACAATTATGAATACTAACACTTTTCAAAGCTTTGCTAGATGATCTTTATTTTCTCTCTTCTAAATTTACCCAAAACCTTATATGTTCCTTGCAAGTTGTTCTAAAACAATTTGTTGCTATCAGAACACTTTCCTTTTAAAGACCAGATGACTTAAAAAGACTAAAAGCAAATTTAATCTTGGCCAAGTTAGTTTTTCTTTTACAGAAAGTGCCTGCTTCAACATATGGTATTGGAATGGCACAGTGTAACATGTTCTTTATCCATAGTTTGTATGGTGTATATTTTGCGCAAAAGTAAACTAAAATCCTTAAGCTCTGAGAATTCTATTCCAACAAGTGCCTTTGATTCTTCTCAACTCTGAATCTAGCTCCGGGTGGACTGAGTCTCCGTAAGTACATTCACAGATGCAACTGTTGCATTGCTGTTCACACACTCTTTATTTCTCAACATCCTATAAAATAATCAGGTAGAACACTCATTATTTTCTATTTCAAAATGGAGTGGACATCAACTCAACACAGACCTATTCATATATCTTCAATTTATACTCAGGAGGCAATGGCATATTTTTGTGGAAAAGGAGACACAGATAGCTCTATCTATCCTCCATCACTGACAGCCTGTTAGGTGGTCACAGCCATTCTAAGTCCTAGTGTCCTCAACTAACAGAGGACATGAAATTCTTGTTTAGATTTGTTTTCTCAGCAGTCAGTCATGATAACCTAAACATGGTTTGATGATTCACGCTTGATATTTCTGGGAATCTCTGAACAGTAGACTGGCATACAGATTCAAATGTAGTTGAGAATTGGGAGGAGAGAGAGGTAGAAATCATGAGACACAATGACAACAAAGCAATAGAGCATAGGTGGGGTGGCTTCAGGTGGTTTCCCATCCCCTGACGTTGTATGGAAAATTCTACATATGCCTGATTACGTGTGTTTTTCTAAACACAAGCTTTATTTTTGAGATCTTTGAGAGAGTTTGAAACCTTTTCTTCTCTCCCAAACTGAAAATGAAGATACCAGATTCAGCTTACTGTCTATGTAGAGGATAGGTCTGTTAATCTCATTTCTTCCTCCTTCTATCTATCCCCTTGCCTCAACAAGTCTTTTGATTAAAATGGACTTTGGCAGAAAATATAGGGAGCAGTTTTAAAATTCCTGATTTTTATCTTTTTACTTTCTAGAATTCTTTTTTTTTTTTTTTTTTTGAGACAGGGTCTCACTCTGTCACCCAGGCTGGAGCACAGTGGTGCAGTTACAGCTCACTGCAGCCTCAACCTTTTAGGCTCAAGCCATCCTCCTGCCACAGCCTCCCAAGTAGCTGGGACTACAGGCATGCACCGCCATGCCTAGTCTATTTTTTAAATTTTTGGTAGAGATGAGGTCTTGCTATGTTGCTCAGGCTGGTCTTGAACTCCTGGTCTCAAACAATCCTCCCACCTAGGCCTTTCAAAATGCTGGGATTATAGGCATGAGCCACTACACCCAACTTATTTTCTAGAATTCTTTTTTTTTTTTTTTTTTTTTTTGAGACAGAGTTTCACTCTGTCGCCCAGGCTGGAGTGCAGTGGCGTTATCTCAACTCACTGCAACCTCTGCCTCTCAGGTTCAAGAAATTATCCTGCCTCAGTCTCCCGAGTAGCTGGGATTACAGGTGTCTGCCACCACACCTGACTAATTTTTTCTATTTCTAGTAGACATGGGGTTTTACAGGTGTGAGCCACCTCTCCAGGCCTAGAATTCTTTATATGGCTTTAGATACGGCTTCCCTTGATTTATCTCTGAATTTTCTTTCTTTCTCTTTCTTTCTTTCTTTTTTTCTTTCTTTCTTTCTTTCTTTCTTTCTTTCTTTCTTTCTTTCTTTCTTTCTTTCTTTCTTTCTTCTTTCTTTCTTTCTTTCTCCTTTCTTTCTTTCTTTCTCTCTCTCTTTCTTTTTGTATCACAAAGATATTTTATGTATTCCTTGCATTTAAATTTGCATTCCTTAGCTCATTTAAGAACTTGGCTGAAAACTAAATATAATTCATTAAAATGGCTTCACTCAGAAACAGTCAGCCCTGTGTTCTTTCTTTTATGCAGATTTTCTATACATGATTAACATTCTCCAGTCACCAAACTCCTATTTTCATACGCTGAAGTGACTTAAGATTTGGGGTTTTACTGTAATTATTTGTAGCCAACAGAGTTAGTTATCTGAAAGGTTCTTGCTGTTTCCAATGCTAATGGGAGAGCAGGGTTTGTCCTAACTTGGGTGGTTCTGTCTGAACTCTGGCTTTAACTGGTCAGAACGATAAACAAGTGGCCTCAGGACCCTTCAGCCCTACTTGAGGAGGCTGCAAAGTCACCTTTAGAAGATTCATTGGTTCGTTTTTGCCTTTTAATATCCTTCCTAGGAGGCTTTATTCTTAGCGCTTTCTTGCCTTTTCTAGAATAACCTGGAAGCGCTAAACCACCTTATTATTGACCTATATGGGTTTTATAAGTATGTTTCAAAATGAGTGAGTGTAGCTGTTTTTAATAATAAAAATACTTTTACAGATGTGGAATCTTTGGTAACGTTTTGGAAAAAAATTGTGGTTTAGAGACAGTTTCCACTTGTTGAGTACTTATTTATTATAACTGAGAACACTGTGGCTCAGAGGCTTGGAGCCACAGGTCACCTACCCAGGCATGACAGAAGTCAAATCCAGGACTATTGAATCCAGGGCTGGCCCCACCAGTAACGTCTCTTGATTTTTTTTTTTTAACTTCAGTTAAAGGTAAACTTCAAACTCTCAAATTAATAAATACTGAGAAATGTGATAGAATAAAATTCTATAGAACAAGGTTTTAAATATATATATTTTTTCTTTGCCATAGATCCCTTGGCAGTTTGCAGAAGTCCTTCTTCAACTAATGTTTATAAATATGTAGAATGAAAATACACAGGATTACAGAGGAAACCAAATATTTTTAAACATAGTTATCAAAATGTCTTTAAAATGTATAAGAATCTGGCCAGGCATGGTGGCTCACGCCTGTAATTCCAGCACTTTGGGAGGCCAAGGCAGCAGATCACCTGAGGTCAGGAGTTCGAGCCCAGCCTGGCCAACATGGTAAACCCCATCTCTCCAAAAAGTACAAAAATTAGTTGGGCCAGGTGTTGGGCACCTGTAATCCCAGTTACTTGGGAGACTGAGGCAGGAGAATCACTTGAACCCAGGAGGCAGAAGTTGCAGTGAGCCAAGACCACGCCACTATACTTCAGCCTATGCAACAAGAGTGAAACTCTGTCTCGATAAATAAATAAATAATAAAGGATGCGTGTAATATCTAACTTCAAAATAGAGAAAACATACATGACATTTCAAGGTATCGGCAAGAACTTTAAAGGGATATGAAAACATTGAATTTTTGTTAGTGACAGTGTCACAGATACTACTTATCTTAACCACTGTGATTTGTTGCCTACATTCGTAATCAAAGATGTTATATTTCACTTAGAGATTAAAAATAGAGATGCATTTTTTTTCCTCATTCAAGTTTATGGACCCCAGAAATCTGGACTGCAGGAATAAGGATCTGCTCAGAACTCTCAAACCATAGGATTATGGGGGTTTTTTTCTCCATGCTTCTGGAGAGCAACATCATTTCAATTTTTTTTTTTTTTCTTTTTAAAGGGTGAGAAGAGTTACACTTACCTTCTAGGGTCTCACACTGGACCAGGTTGATATAGTCTTGCTGGGTCAGGAGACTGGCCTTGCATCCTCGAACCAGGCCCTCCAGGTAGCCATGGTCCACGTTGAAATACAGCTCTGCACCTTCGAGCATGGGGGAAGAGATCGAAGCCAAGGTAGGGTGAAACGGCTCTGTAGTCCTGGACGGCCCCTGAAGACATGCACTAGCCTGGGAAAAGTGCGAGTAATTATCAGGCAGCACAAGCAATCTGTCAGGTGGTAGTCAGGGTTTGTGTGACTAGTTTCCTCTGGTTTCAGTGGCTTTCAACAAAGCACACTCAGCCCTGTTTTTACAGCAACAATGAATCAGCCAGATGACCCAAGTAAACCCAGGCGACAAACCACCATTGGGAAAAAAAGATATGAGAGTCAGGGGAGGATCCAGGCTCAATTCTTACTCTCCCACAGATGGGACCCTTCCCAGCTTTGCTATTGGGAGGCTTCAAACACCTGAATGTTTTGTAAACATTCCTACCACCAGCTGAGCTTTCATCTGTAATTTACACTAACCCAGAATTCTTTGAGGACTATCAACATGAACATCAACATGAACAAAGAGAGGGTCTTTTTTTTTTTTTTTTTTTTTTTTGAGACGGAGTCTCGCGCTGTCGCCCAGGCTGGAGTGCAGTGGCCAGATCTCAGCTCACTGCAAGCTCCGCCTCCCAGGTTTATGCCATTCTCCTGCCTCAGCCTCCCGAGTAGCTGGGACTACAGGCGCCCGCCACCTCGCCCAGCTAGTTTTTTTGTATTTTTTAGTAGAGACGGAGTTTCACCGTCTTAGCCAGGATGGTCTCAATCTCCTGACCTCGTGATCCGCCCGTCTCGGCCTCCCAAAGTGCTGGGATTACAGGCTTGAGTCACCGCGCCCGGCCTGAGAGGGTCTTTTAATAAAAATAATTTAATTTAGACCGGCATGGTGGCTCACCTGTAATCTCAGCACTTTGGGAGGCTTAAGGGGGCAGATCACCTGAGGTGGAGACCAGCTCGGCCAGCATGGTGAAACCCCGTCTCTACCAAAAATACAAAAATTAGCCAGGCTTTGTGGTGCATGCCTGTAATTCCAGCTACTTGGGAGGCTGAGGCATGAGAATTGATTGAACCTGGGAGGCGGAGGTTGCAGTGAGCTGAGATCATGCCACTCCTCTCTAGCCTGGGGGATAGAGTGAGAGTCTGTCTCAAAATAATAATAATGATAATTATTATTATCATTATTATTATTATATAAGTAAATCAAATGTGGCTAGGCAGTTTGAAGAGTCATGAGAACCTAATTCTGCCACACAGTTCATTTGTAAGACAAATGGTCAGAAATGTCCTAAAATTGCCAAAGGATCGTAGCTGCTTCCTAGCCAGTCAAAGGGCACAGCCCAGAAAACAGTCCTGGAAGCAGATACACAAGGCTATGATTCTATAATAATAAGCCACTACCTCTGCAAAATTGGACTGCTTATAATGCACCCTATTTTCTTTTTCCTACTTAAATCTCATGATTACTCTGTGATGTGGATCTGCACGGACAATATTATTACTAAAATCACAAATAAGGAACCAGTCCTCAGAAGCTGTGAGGCAGCTCAAAACGCATAGCTGGCAATACAGTAAGTATTTAATGAAGCTGGGACTTATGTTGAGTTTCATGCTCCAAAAGGAGTGCTTGTTCTCCCATATATTGTATTTAGTTAAAAAATTATGTCAAATATCCTGAATGCTATTTGCATATAGAGTGTTTCATATATATATTGTGTCAAACCTTTAATTGGAACTAAAGTCCCAGGAATTCTCCATTCTCTATCACGGTATTTCCAAACTGTGTGGGAGAAGCTAGATAAAATGGAATCAATGTAAATTCTGCTTTGATTGTTGAAAATCACAGAGAATCAAACTTACCTTTACGCGGTGCCCGGACTTTCAAAGTATTCAATAAATAGTAGAGGCTCTCATTATGTTATCATTCTCTATCCACCCACTACAATTCCACCATCCTTAAACACCCTGAGTGTGTTTTATGTTGAATCAATCACTTATTTATCACTTCTGTGGTCTAAAGATGGTTACATATCCTCAGTTTTATAGAGTTCAAACTAATACAACTTAAATAAATTATAAACATCACGCTTATCTTTTCCTAATTATTTTACTATGTTTTACTATTACTTGTGCACTTGAGGTGATTATGGCTATTGTATCTGTAAGGTAGATATTCTATATAATGACATGCTGTCATGCATCTCTTCTCAACTCCGGGTTTAATGACATAATGATGGTAGCTTGCAGCAGACCATGGCAGGAATGAAGTATTTATACCATGAAAATAGGCAAATGTTGCAAATCAGGGCTTGATTCATTGGTTAATTGTCCGGTCTTGAGAAAAAGATGGAGAAAATGTTAATAAAGCAAAGTAAAAGTATGTAATGTTTATAGTCATTATATTGTAAATTGCAACAAATTTGAAGAAATGTTCTATCAGTATTTAAAAACTGTTATCTGATTCAGCAAGGAAGCCACTCACTTTATGAAGAACAAGAGAAGTTTTGACATATGTCTTCGTTGTTTCACTTTCATGTTATTCATTAATGTAAATAGAAATATTAGCCAGCATTTATGTTGGATATTCACTTATTTGTCAATTGCAAGTATAGGTTGGGTACAGATAGAAGAATTGAACAAACAAAAAAATCAATGAAAATGTTCTGTGAAAATCAATTCACTATTGAATTGGAATTTACAATGAAGAGTATTTTTTTGGCTGGGCGCAGTGGCTCACGCCTGTAATCTCAGCACTTTGGGAGGCTGAGGCAGGTGGATTGCTTAATAAGGTCAGGAGTCTGAGACCAGCCTAGGCAACATAGTGAGACCTGGTAAAAATTTAACCAGGCATGGTGGTGCACACCTGTGGTCCTAGCTACTTGGGAGGCTGAGGTGGGAGTATCACTTGAGCTGGCTAGGCACAGGTTGCAGTGAGCCAAGATCACACCACTGCACTCCAGCCTGGGTGACACAGTGAGAGCCCATTTCAAAGAAAAAGTATTATTTTACTGTTACTTATAAATTGAGTATACACATTCTTTGCATCAATAAAATTGAAAATAAACATGCCATACATTTTTACGGACAGCCAGTTGTTACACATGCACACCACAACATCTTCAGAGTCTTGCCTAGAGCCAGTCCTGCAGGTCAACATGCTCAAAAAAAAAAAAAAAAAAAAAAAAAGGGATTTTGTTGCTATGTGTGTGCAAAACAACTTTCCAATTTGCCATATTTTACATTTATATGTAGATACAAGTTTCGATGCATCTTTAAAATAATAGTCACCCACATTTTTTGCTATTATGAAATTAAAGCAGCAAAGTGTTCCCCTTTCCCTTCACATTGTCCTTCTCGCCTGGCAGAAGTAAAAATGTCTCACTCCCGCTAAAGGTACTTGTCATAAATGCCATCAAGCTCACAAGAAATGAAAGGAAACTGAAAAGAATGACAATATCTGGAGTTTCTTTATAAATGGGTCCTTACGGTGAAAACATAACAAAGTTGTCATTCCAGTATTTAAACTACCAGTGATGTTCAGGAGCGTGGGCTTTGCAGTGTGACGGGCATGGGTTTGTGACTCCATCTCTCTAATGGCCAGTGTTTTCATGTGTGAAATGGAAATAATAACACCTGCCTCATAGGTTGTTACCAAAACAAAATAAGATAAAATCTTTAACATGCTTAGCACAGGTGGGCATGTGTGCTAAGTACTTGGTGAATGGAAGCTACAGTTTTAGTTACCCATGATTAATGACGGTCTGAAAATGTTAAATGGAAAATTCCAGAAATAAACAATTCATATATTTTAAACTTTGTGTCATTCTTAGCAGTGTCATGAAATCTCTCTCTCGCCAGCCCTCTATGCCCCAGCCGGAACATGAATCCTCCCTTTGTCCTCCAGGCTGTAGGCACCCCCGATTGCGAATCACTTAGTAGCCATCTCAATTATCAAACCAAGTGTCAAGACATTTGTTTTGTGTTCAAGTAACACTTACTTTACTTAATAATGAACTCAACATGCAAGAGTAGTACATCTAATTTATAGATAAACTTTAAATTACACAGGTATGTATGTACAGGATAAAACAGTATATAAAGAGTTTGGCATCCATTGGGGCGGATTAGGAGGGACTATTGTACAAAAACCACTGTAATCACTTTTATTTATTTATTTATTTATTTATTTATTTATTTATTTATTGAGAAGGAGTCTCACTCTGTCCCCCAGGCTGGAGTGCAGTGGCACGATCTCGGCTCACTTCAACCTGTAACTCCCGGGTTCAAGCGATTCTCCTACCTCAGCCTCTGAGTAGCTGGGATTACAGGCACGTGCCATCAAGCCCAGCTGATCTTTGTATTTTTAGTAAAGATGGAGTTTCACCGTATTGGCCAGGCTAGTCTCAAACTCCTGGCTTCAAGTGATCTGCCCACCCCAGCCTCCCAAAGTCCTGGGATTACAGGCGTGACCCACTGAGACTGGCCTGTAATCACTTTTAGATTCAATTTCCTAAATCGAGGAACAGTGCCTTATTCATTTTTCTTTTCTTTTCTTTTTTCTTTTGTTTTAAGAGGCAGGGACTCACTGTCACCCCGGCTGAAGTGCAGTGGTGTGATCATGGCTTGCTTCAGTCTTGAACTCTTGGTCTCAAACCATCTTCCCACCTCAGGTTCCTGAGCAGCTGATGCTACGGGTGCACACCAACAGTCCTGGCTCATTTTTCCATCTCTCCAGTGCTTAGTAGCATGCCTTGTTGGGGGCCAGAGAATTCAATACTCATTTCGTGAATTAACTAGAGTCAGAGTTTTAAAATGACTTAAAATTGCTTTTACAGAATCTTTAATTCCCCGTTTCTCTAGGAAACACTGTAATTGGTAAGTGTATCTGAAGAGTGAGGGTATTTTGTGGTTTTGTAGCGTAATGCACATACATATATAATTGTGGATGTGTGTATATCTGTATAGGATGTATAGGAATTCTTGTGACTTTCTGTCAACTTCAGGGGTTCCCAAGAGTCATTATCTTCATAGCATTAGAGGATCAATTTATTCTGCAAGGAAAGGAGATATTCCTTAAAGAAGTATAGTATAGTGTCTGTTACACTGAGCATAAAGAGTTTCTTTCTAGATGTAGTAGGTTCTTCAAAGCACAGTGTGAAAGCAAAGGAGAGGAAGGCTGCTTCCTGCACACAGTCCTCCGATGTCTTCGATGCAGCTAAGGCAGCCCAAGGCTTTGCCAACTCTAAAGTAGTTGTCAGGGTGGACAGTCATATCCACCCTCAAACAGCCCCTGAGAGCATCTTTAGAGGCAGTGTGTGGTACACAATGCCCCCCAGAGCAGACCTATGATGCCATGGTTAATAGCCAATCACAGGCCAGGTCAAAGCCCTTTCCTAGGACGATCGCACTTTAAAAACAAAACAAAACAAAACAAAACTTTTAAACTTTTTAGGTTGGGTACAGTGGTTCATGCCTATGATCCCAGCACTTTGTGAGGCGGAGGCAGGTAGATCCCTTGAGCCTAGGAG